ACACAACATAGAAAACTAAAGACTAAGCAACACGAACCCCACCACCACCATCTTAAGATAGAAATAAAAGACTTCTTGACTATGTGATAGATGTACTAGTCATAGTAACATGTCAAAGTGACGTGACATCACATTAAGTTCGGCACATAGTAAACGTCATGTGTGTGGTATTTACGAGAGGTATGATTATGATGCAACGTATTACCCTCAATTTTTAAGGTTTCGATATCTACTCTAGTTTATTTTTACACATCTCACTCAGTCAATCTATTGAATTTCTCTTTCTTGTTCTTCCTATTTCTTTGCAAACCAAACATTCATCACCTTGTCCTCTGCCATTTTATTTCCGTGAAGTTAACTAATCAAATGGTTCTGCATGTTTGAGTTTGTGGTCACACTTGTCCAGCTTGTCCATTATTTTTTCTCATGTTCTTTGATTGCTGCATCATATTCTATCTTCATTCATTTTATATCCGTTTCAATCTGGTCGCACTAGGTTTCATACGTGCTGTCTAGATCTTTTACTTTTTTAATGACCCACCATTTCATTACAGCATCCGAACTGGCCCTCGGAGCTTTCAGAATGGTGATATGGTTGTCGTTCATATTCCAGTATTTGAAGAAACTACCCATGATCATCCCTCTTTATCAATGGCCCTTTGTGTTGTTCCATTCCCTGAAAAGTGCTATTCGGAGATGGGCGAGCGTTTCCGATGGATTTGGGCTCTTTCTGATGGGTCGTCCAAGTTCGTCCCAAAGATGTTCCATTGGCGATAATCTGGAGACATTGCTGGCCACGGCAACACGAATGTGATTATTCTCCAAAAAATCATTGAAATGTGTGCCACGTGACAACGGGCGTTGTCCTGCTGAAAAACGTGGTTAAAACGATGCCTTCGGAAAAACGGGAGAACCATGTGACGCTGCGTAAGGATAGGTCCCTTCAACGGACGACGAGCTCTTAGGCCAACTTGATGCAGTCGGTTACAAACTGTTTGTGAATATAGCCTGTTGTTGTTTCTTCCATGAGTTTGTCGTGCTTTACAAATCGATTCCGGAGATGAATAATGCGGATGTGCCTGTCTTGACGTCACTTCGTTTCACGTAGTCTGCAACCTCGGGGACGATTAGTTGTAGTGCCAGTATCTCTAGGACGAGTCTTGAGCCTTTCAATAGTCATTCTAGAGACATTGGGATGATTTGCAACCTGTATTAGAGTCATTTTTGCTGCCAACATCCCAATAGCTCGTTCTCTCTCATTATGACGTAGACGTGGCATTGACTTACGTGTAACTTTTTCAATTTTTTAATGCGACCTTTTGTTAACAATAGTGCTCTACACATTTAATGATATAAAGGACAACTCAATTCCATCTCTATACAGGTAAATGTTTGAAAAAATGCTTATTTGTTTGAAATCAGAAAATGACGTAACGTCGTCTTCGAATTTTTAACAAATTAGTAAATGATAGATAAATCATTCAGGTCACTTGTTTTAATCTTGAAAATATTATAAATTAATATATGTAATTTCTTTTAATTAAAAACCAGGGTAACGTTTCTTTTTTGGCCTAGTATACATTTATTTATATCAGACAATGCCCGCACGTGGACGAGGGTACTTATACCGTCTTTAAGGATGTGGCGCTTGGATTGTCATTGATAAAGTTAACTGTAGTTTTACTATCATATCTTTTTAACAACGCAGTACTCATTGCCGATTTTGTTTTATTCTGGTACAAAACCTCTGATATAAATAAACTGTTGAAAATAATACAAAGTAGACTGTCTATTAAGTCTGTAATAGTATATATAACTTTAGGTTGTATACCAGCTGGCCTTCGCACTAAAGTTCTTTCATCTTCATCGTTTTCTTTTCGAAATACCCTTGAAAAAAATTCAGCCAGTATATAGCCTTCTCTTTATCAGTACTTACATTACACATTTTAAAATCTCTTTTATCATGTAATTCGGATGGGGGAATTTGGATTTTCATTTCGACTTCAAATGACAAGAAATTCTTTTTTGCTGATGTCTTTTTCACGGTTTTCACGTTCTTGTCTGACATTTGAGTTGGCTTTGTTCCTCACTAAATTTTAGTTCCTTTCGACATAATTAAACATAGTACCTCATGAACCCTTGCGCAAACTCTGCGCCTGTGTGCCCTCTACAAGACCTTTATAGTCTTACCCCGTGACACCCCTCATTATTTTTCTCTAGAAGCCATGGAATAGGCCAACCCACTGTTTTTAACAATTTTTTTTCAAATTTTGATTTCTAGTTTCAGAATTTTGAACATAGCGCCCTTCGACACCTTGCGCAAAAGATGCGCCTGTTTCTCCTCTACAAGACCTATATAATCATACCCCGTGACACCCCTCATTATTTTTCTCTAGAAGCCATGGAATAGGCCAGCCCCCATTTCTGCAAATGTGTATCTTAATTCAATTAAACAATAACATCACAGGTGCTATATTTTACAGGGAAGGACTACTTTTACATATGTTCTAAATTGAAGTGGGTGATTGGTGGTCTTACACCAACAAATAATCCGTTGACAGATGCAGATTTACTGTAGTACTGAATATTAGCCCAAAAAGAGATGTGACTTGTTTTATCAATGGATGGGATAAATACCATTTCATGATAGAGTTGAAATTGCAATATTTGGACGGAATTTCTGCCTTTTAAAATATTTTTCATTTAACGGCCGTTGCTGTCTTACTCTTTTTTTCGGTTTTTAGATATATCGCCTTATTGTTCGCTGGCTTATTGTTCGCTAGTTATTGTTCGCTAGCTTCAGCCTGGTAAACATTTCATTATGTGTGCAACTATATGTTATAATAAACTTTTTAAAGACGTTTCTGTCTACTATTGTCTATCTTGTTACTGTAACCATAGCAACCATAGTAATAGGATAGACATAACAGGATAAGCAAATTTCTTCATTTTTGAATGCTGTTGTGAAATAACTACTCCCTTTGATGAAGTGATAATGTTTTTCTCTTGTGATTTGTGTTTCCAACACGTTATTGCACTTTTTACAAGTATAATATTGGTGTAATTAATCAATATGTTGGTAACAGCATAGACATGACAAAAAAGTACCCACTAATCTTTTTCACTAAATGTCTTGAAATTTCATTTCTCTATACTGTTATACAAGAAACGTGCTGTGTTAAATGTTAAGGTTACTTTGCGCTTTTGAAATCAACACTGACTAGTTCAATATGCATAGGGAGAAAAATTTAACGGCTGGTTTAAGTAGCGGTAACAGGATGGACATGAACTTTATGTACGCTGATTGAATTTAGTTTGTAGAAAAAATGTTACATATAATAATAAAGAAGCTACGATTTTTCGTTAGAGTTATTATTAACGTTCTAAAAAAAAGTCCCTTTTGCAGATATCAAGGCGATCCGAAAATAGGAAAAAAAATCATTTGAAATGTGTTACTCGGACACTGTACGCACATAAACTACGCAAAAATTGGACTTAAATATATTTTAATCTTATCAAAATAGATCTAAATCGTGTTTATTATGAATGTTCTGACTCATAAATCCTACAAACTTTCATTTAAACACTTACAACTGCATTTTCCATTAGAAATAAATAAAATTAGCATGGGTGTACTGAAAATTCGACATTTTTTTAAAATGACCCATATTCAATACTCGTACTCTTAATTCCTGTTGTGATCACAAACAACATCAGTTAGTTTACTAGAATAATTCCTTACTCACCTTCAGTATCGCTTTTCCTTTTTCTGCAAGAGCCTATTTTTAACCAGAGATCCATGATGGTTAATGTAATCGAGAAACATCACCCGTTGAGATGCTGAGTTATATTCGGAAAGAATAATTTAAAAGGAACGATGACAAGTTATCCAAATCAAGGTTGAGACAGAAAAGACAAATGACTATATTTCGTACTTAATTACTAGTACCATAAACAAATACACAAAAAAAATAATTCAGTGTAGAAATTTTAGTGAGGCAATTGCCTCACTTGCCTCAATGGTAGTTACGGCCTTGCATAATTCCCCAAAAAGTCTACGTCATAAATATAATTTATATTCGTTAGACTAGATGTGCATGATAATTCTACTTTCGTTTTATAATAACCAAATGTTCAAGCGATCATCAGCCATAGAATGATATAAACCGTTTGAAAAAAAATGATCATTAACTATGATAACTGATAACTTTATATCTGGAATATGAAAATAAAATTAACTATAACATTTGAATAAGGGTTATTTGGAGAGGACAGGAAATGAATAATTTGAATAGAGTAGAACATAAGAATACCCTTGTACATGTATGATGTTTATAGTTTGTTTTCGTGTTGTGCCGTTTCACTACTGTCTCAGGTAAGAGGAGGGTTGGCGCCTTCAAACATGTTTTACCCCGCCACATTCTATGTGTGCCGGTCCCAAGTCAGGAGCCTGTATGTAGTTCAATAGTTGTCGTTGGTTCATGTCTGTCATATTCGTTTTCCGTAAATTGTTTTGTTACAAAATAAGCCGTTCGTTTTCTCAATTGAATTGTTTTATATTTTTAATGTCGGGGCCTTTTATATCCGACATCACGGTATGGGTTTTTTCTCATTGTTGTAGGCCGTACGATTACTTATAATTGCTTTCATCCACTTCATTTGAACTTTGGTGGATAGTTGTCTCATTGGCAATCATACCAAATTTTCTTATTTTTATAACGATTCAAATATAAACACAAGAAACCAAGACCATTTCCTCGTGTATAACAATGCTGAACACAATAACCCCTAGCACCCACTTTGAACACAAAGCTTTTGTTTAAACAGTCCCTGAGTATTATTGTGTTTCAGACGGACGGATGGATCAACGAAGTCTATTTCTAAATCCCAAGAACGATGGGGTCAATAATTGATTTTGTCGTCTTTGGTTTAACTAATGAATGTGAACATTTAATATTACAGAAAGAACATAATAAACAAGACGCACACAAACAGCGACATTTATTTAAAAATATCAAACACAAGCGTCATCATGTATAAAGTCATCTGTTTGCTTCATTGGAAAGTAATACGTATATGATTTATTAACACAAGAATGGTTAAAGAAGTATTGTACACTATATCTTCACGATTTATCGCTTTATTGTTATCTCTTTAATCCCATCCCAATTATCCATATTCTATGTATGTTGATTTGGAGAGTTTTCTTAATGGTGCCAATGTTACATGTAAATGGGCATTCATTCAGAAATGAACTTTTATCTTATTTCATAACATTATTTCTTATTTCTAATATCTATATAGACTGATTACATAACCATACGGACACTATGTTGAACCTCTCAATACGCCGGTTATGAATTGTTTCATGATAAGATAAAAACACACTCTGTTCTACTTAAAAGTTGTATCCTTTTGCTACAAATTATTAAATGGAAACAAAGATGGTATTTTGGTAAAGGACTATTATACACCATGATAACAAATACTTCAAATTCTTATGACTGAAAAAGGTAGTAATTCGTAATTTAATTTCGTACGTCCGAAACGCTCTGCTTTCATTAGGAACGTTCAAAATTAAACATTTAAAAGCAAGAAATGTATAAATACTTAGAAAAGTTTAGAGCTATGTTCTAATATTTGTCGCTCAATAAGATCATATTCCCCTAACCTATATAGAAATTGCTGATTTAAGCAAAACAATTACAAGACGCTGACTTATAAATCGTAGCCTTTCTATGTAATGCAATGAAACGACAGACTGATGTAAAGCATAACAAGAAAATATATGCCATACTGTCCCTAAAATCAACTGCTTTTCAACATTTCTAAAGTTTTCTTCATCAAATGATGAATTAAATACTTGAATATAACATACCTATTTGTTTTAAAGTATTTCTTTTTCATTAGTTATAGCAATGAAATAACAGTAAATATGATCCTATTATTTTGGTATATGTCTCCGTGGTAATTTTACCAAATCTCCTTACATTTTGTTTTTATAACAGGTCGAAATTACACATAGTTGTAACAGTTTGACGAATACATGCATATTAATATAAAAAAATAAGAGCATACAGTACCACACACCGATATGAAAAAAATACTTCAGCAGGGAATGTACTTTATAACTAGCTAGGTAGTCGCTGGTGAAAAAATTTGTGGGCGACGATTATGCTGAATGTTGATTAAGCCAAAATCTGTCAAAAATTTAAAAAATTGAAAATATCTTGCAACAATTTCGAATGACGTCACACTCAAATTGGCACTAAGCCGGAACAAATCACTAAATTTTTAAAGGTCAGGTAGTTTAAAAAAATGTGTTAATATTCGAAACATACAAATGTTCATTTTCGGTTCCGCTAGCAAGCAAGCTAACCAAAACTATTACCTTTACCTACACACTCAAGTCATTGTGCTGTAAAAAAAATATCAGCTAGTCGCAATAGTACTATGTAAATATTTTCTAAGACCTTTCAACCCCACATGATTATCCAATGATATGGACATCTTTTATCGGATAAGAGCCTGTTTTTGTCACATTTTAGAGCTGCTGCATTCCACGCACACTCTATGACAATAACTAGTGAGGTTCCTGTTTTATCTATCTTGTTAAATATATCTTTTGCCGATCGATTGATGTATCGAGATCTTGAAAACCAACCGCTGCCAATCGAATATCTCACGGAAATTTTTTTCAATTGCTCTTTAGCTCTTGATATATTCATGACCTGATGATTCTTGTCCACACTCGTCACTAACAGGTTTCTTCCATGTTTCCATAATAGCATGTGTCCTCCTTTGACACTCATCATATGCTTTGTTTGGCCTTTTATGGGGTTATAGGTGACAACAATCCAATCCCTCCAGAAGTACTTTCCAGAAAGCAAATTGAATAGTTCAGTGGCAAATTGACTATTCGGTTTACCATAGTTTTTGGCGGAATATTCATCAATATCCTTTTTGGATTTGGCGAAATAAACTTTTATACACTGATCGTCAATGTCTTTGAACTTTTCTCGAACCTCCTCTGTTCTATTTATCCATTGTGACTTCATAAAATTTGCATTATGATCATATTTGTAGGAAAAAAGATAGGCCAACTCTATTTTAATAGCCTGCAAGAGAAGCTGCATAACTCCGCGAAGAAATAACTGTGTCTTTGTGCGATCACTGTCAGTATAACGCAAAACAGAAGTACCCAGATCTTCTTGAAACGTACCTTGTTTGTTGAGAATGGATTGGTACAATTTCGTGCCGCTATTCTGGTAATCACTTTCATAATTCGAAATATAAATCTTCTTTCTATTTTCCGCAGCAACAGTTGGAACAATATACAGATATCTATATTCTCGTGCCATTGCCTTTATCCTTTGTTCAATCTGCCCGAAATTGACTTGCACGACGTTCCACTTAATCATCTGTTCGATAGTGTCGAATCGCTTATCCATTTGATCAAAACGTGAATCAATATATTTCATCATCTGTTTCATGTAGGCCAACTCAGCAGATTCGGTTTGAAAAATTGCGGTTATGAAACTCATGAAGGGACCTATTGCACCAAGGTAAGGACCAAGACTTTTCCCTATCCTTTTCAAGAAATCTTCAAATTCCTTGTTTTTAATCATTTCGGCTATACTTTTTCCAGCTTCAAGCCCTTTATTCACCGTTTCTATGTCATCCACAGATATGCTGTGTACAGGTGGGCAAATAATAAAAAAATAGTCACCGTGAAGAACCATATCGATGTAAACACTGGAATAATGAAAATGATAAATAAGATAAACATAGGAAAATAAATCAATAAATAAGTCATCTAATTTAGAAGGAAAATGGTGATTCCCATTTAATTCAGGTTAAAACGAGTTAAAAAAGATAGAAAGATATACCAAAGACTGCTATGACATTTTTATGGTAATAATGAAAGGAAATGTCTAGTGTCATAACATAACATTATCACGGCTGTCATTCGGTATATCGAGAAAAATGATCGTGAAAGAATAAATAACGGTGGTTAAGTATTTCGATTGGATCGTGAAAGATCTGGTATTGGATCGTGAAGGAAATCTTATCGAGAAGACGTAAGCAACGTTAGTAAATAATCTAATTTAATCAATTATGACAAATATTGGAAAAAAAAACTGTCTGTCAAAATGGTTCAACATTATGATCAGAATACGAGAAAAATCAAGGCTTAAAAGTACAACGTTTTTATAAAACTACAGTAAGCTGATTGCTCATCGAAATTTAAGAAAAATAAAAATGTAAACAAACATGATTTTTTTATCAAATTTTTAATGCATAAACTACTTTTCTCTTAAAAATATCGTTCAATGTTACTGTTTGAAATAGTTCTTAAAGTTATTTTGATTAAGTTTATTCATAAACATTGTAAAAATTGTAATATTTGTAAACATTTGATATTTCAAATCGTGAAAGAGCGGGTACCGCATTTTGATGATAGTGCAAAGGATCATCAAAGATCTGCTTATTCGTTATTGCAAAAAATCTACGAAAACGATCAAATCTTTCTTTCAACAAATGATAATTTATATTTATAATTGGCAAACCAACAGATTGGATATGTATGACTTATTCCGCTTCACTTTTGTATTTGATTTGATTTTTTGATTTTTGGTGTTTTAACGCCACTTTTAAGCACCGCTTTTGGGCTATTTCGTGGCGGCCAGTTTTTATTGGTGAAGGAAGCCGGAGTGCCCGGAGAAAACCACCGACCTTCGATAGGAAAACTGATAATCCTAGTCAATTAAGATTGGAGTCGAGTGCACCCGCACGAGCGGGGTTCGAACTCACAACCTCAGTGTTTACTGGCTAGTGATTACAGTAGTAACTACTTACACCACTCGGCCACCGAGGCCCCTCTTTTATTTTTGAATAGGGCTATGATTGTTCAATGCAATTGTGTCTGCTTATTTGATAACACCACACCGACTAGTTTTCTTATAACAATATATGTCCGTCTGTCCGTCCTGTATAACTTTTATGTCGTTTCAAAAGTTAAGACTGGGTCGTCTGATTTCCATTAATCTTTATGCACAGTCATATCTATAAAACGAAGATCCTTGTTGATTTTTGTAAAAAAAAACATTGTTTAAAATAATCTTAGGAAAACAACTGTTATATTGCTGACTTGGCACAGGCATTTTCCAAACAAAATTGTGGGTTAAATCTGGTTTTCTAGCTAGCTAATACGCTCACTTGCATGACATTTGTTAAATGTTCCGTAAAATGACTAAACTGGGTGATCAACCCAAACAGTCATTGGTTAACGTGGTCATATCTAGGATTCAGCAGCCAGAACTGTGTAAAAATACATTACAGACATACAACGCAACTGAATTTAACGTTCAAACACACTTACAATTTAATCAAACAAAGACGCCAACAAAAAAGCTTTTTAAATTTGCAGTTGATAATACAGTCAGAATAGTAAAGCATAATATCAGAGATCCTTGAGTGTCATGTAAATATAAATATTTTCATATGCCGGAGATTTTATCTGGTGCTCACCAGTTTGAAAAATCGTGCATACGACTTTTTAGCTCGTGCACACGACTTTCAAACTTGTGCGCATGGCTTTCAAACTGGTGCGCACGACTTTGAAAATCGTGAACATCAGTTTTAAATGTCGTGCGCAGGAGATTTAAAGTCGTGCGCAGGAGATTTAAAGTCGTGCGCACCAGATAAAAACTCCGGCAAACGAAATAATTATATTTACATGGCAGTTAAGGGGCTCCTTCCTTACATAATGACATATACACTTTCCCGATAAATACAAAATAAGTTAAATATATATACAAGGGTATACAAAATGAAAACAACACTATTAAAACCTCATGTGTCCGAATCGCATCTCTGGACCCTGTCGCATAAGGAAGGCCAAAAGACAAAAACCTGAAAGCTGGATGTACATGTACCGAACCACGTCAAGAGGCATACGATCAAATGGAACATAATAGTACAACGACAAATAAAGGTAAAACTGTAAAGTAGATAAAATGCTACACAGAGTCAGCACCTAAAATGCCTAACTCAAGACCGTCCTGTATTATTTGTTAAGTAAACACGGAATATCTATCTATTAGGTCTTGATACTTTCCAATGAACATTTTGAACAAAACTTTGGATCATTAATTTTTGCTCAGGCACTGATAACGTTTTACAAACTCTTAATAGCAGCTGCAAGCTCCTGAAAATCGTATGAATTGAGAAATGTATACTCTATACGCGGATGAAGTTGGTACATTGCTGCTAAGGTGAGGACAATTTATTATTTCAAAATTAAAATCATACCGATTTTCATAGACTCTGGTATTGAGATGACCTCTGTAGTCAATTCGGGGTATATGTCTGAACATGAGGCAGCGGAAGCTGTATATGTGGTGGTTGTAATCTCTAGTTCATGAGAATTATTTGGGACCAAATCAGAAAAGTTTATATTGTTAATAAAAGGAACATCTTCAATACACATGTATGTAAAATTAATGATATAGCTTCTTTGATATGACCCTTACAAAAACAAAAACGTACACATTAAGATATTTCCAGCGAAAGACCACCAGACCCCCTCTGCTTCACTCATTCGTGGATGCATTTAGCATTATATATACAAAGATATCGTTTATTATTATGATTTTAAAACGAAAATATGTACGTTTTGGGGGGAAAGGGTACATAGGTATTTACAGTTTAAAGAAAGTCTCTTAGGCGTCATAAGATAGCTTACTTTACAATAACTTAAACAAATATATGCTTTATCTATACTTTTATGTGATATTAAGTGGTAATTGGCTTCTTTCTATTATACTTAGTCTTTCTTTTGGTGACATTAACAGCTTACCTATCACTGATTTAAAAATGGTTTCATGGTAAGTTTCCATGAAAATAGTTAACAAAGCGACTACTTTTGGTTAACAAAATAAAACACATTTTTGTTGACGTTTTCAAGATCAGATTCTTCTCAACCTAATGTAGAATATCAAATGTCATTATCATGTACAACTATGGAGATGTAACTAAATATTCATTAATTTAAAAAATCCATGGAAAATAACTGCTTTAAAATGTTTAGGAATGCTTCAAACGAAATATTTATCTTAAAGCACCAAACATATTGCCCCATGTTTTTTAATTGATTGATTGAGAGATTGGTTGTTGGTTGCTTAACGTCTTGTTGGAAATGTTTCACGATTATTCAGAACAAATAAACAATATATACAAAGGTAGGTCCTGTTAAAGGGGTCGACCAGCGTGAAGGGTGAATAGTTTGTACAGCCACTCGGAAAGAGAGTAAATCGGATAGGGACAGACATTTAGCATTTAACAAGGACAACAAAGGACCCCTCAAAGAGTTGTCGTTGCACTCTTTCTCACGAGGCATTCGATATCAGGTCCCCATTATGACTGGACGTGGCTGCGAATTTATACATCCCGCACAACCAAAACGGACGTCTCACTTTGGCAAGAGTTTTATTGATGTCGAAATAACACCAATAGTGACTATTTCTATTCCCCAGTCACCCTTGGGATTCATGTTTTTACTTTCTGGTACGGTTTCAGAGGGGAAGGGTTCACACACAGGCATAGTTATAATAATTAAAACTTTGTACACAAATAAGTTTATATGATAAATAATGCAGGAATTATTAGAGAAGAAATGTTTTGTAACTTGAGTTCTAGAAAAAGCTAATCCATGAGTTTTAAGGTAACCAGTTTGATAAAAGCTTAAAAATATTTGTAATCAATTCACGTACCTCTAAATGTTTCACGCAATAATATTTGTGATAAATTGTTTAATACACGAATTATAAAAGATATTGACTTATATCCTTTAAATCGCTTTAAGAATAGAAATATTAAATAACATATAAATGATCGGGTGTATTCCTGAAATGTTACTTTATAGGGTAGCGGGACACAACAAAATCCATATTGTTTTCAAATGCCTACTGACACCAACTCTATTTTTTCTTTAAAATACCTTAAAAGTCCTTTCTTCTATTTATCAGTTGAACTTCTACTTGTTTTGATTCGAGCGCAAGTGATGAGTCGTGTGTAAACGAAACATGCGTCTGGCTCGTCAAATTATAAGCTCGGTATCTTTGATGATTTTAAAAACATTCATACGGCAAAGGAGGTGATACATATATTAAAAGAAAAAACATTATTTGGCCCCTGCAATTGCAAAAAAATATATAAATATAAATTGTCGGCATTCCTATGGGACGAACTGTTCGCCTCTCTTTCTCGACCTCTTCTTATTTTCATATGAGTCGGAATTCCTTTAGACACTTGTCAAACACAAGGAGATCAAAGAAGCCAGATCATTTAATTTCACATTCGGATATATTAATGATGTTCTTTCTATTAACAATACAAACTTTTCTGATTGGGATCCATTAATATATCCTTCAAAACTATAAATTAAAGAGACAACGGACACGGCTTCCTCTGCCTCATTTGTTTTACTTATACCTCGAATTTGACACCAGCAGTCATCTCAGTACCAGAATTTATGACAAACGAAACGATTTTATTTTGAAAACTATAAATTTCCCCCACCTTAGCGGCAATATACCAACTTCCCCTGCATATGGGATATACATTTTCAAACTCATTCGATATTCAAGAGCTTGCAGCTGCTACTCAG